TTAAATGAATCCATTTACCCTTGAAGTGACAATAGGCAAAGAGCACACGTGCACACCGTTGTTGCACCTCACCTTACCCTGCTAAGCTGCAGCAATACATCTGCTTAGCCTAAGCGCCTTGTTTCCATTTCTGGAGGCATGGAGTTGGCGTGACAGGGCTGAGACTCCCTTCTGAATCCAAATTCCGCATCACAGCACAAAAGGCCGGTCAAAACAAGGATGAAAAAGTCAGGCTGGTCCGTCAGGACAGTGCAGCCTCCAGCCATGCTCACTGGGGACGGACTTTTCTCAGCAATGCATTTTTCAGTGCCGTATGTAATTAGATAATGAACTTGTCATAAGCGTACTCCAGTGAAATGACATCTACCTTAGTGCCTTCCTTCTGACACAGCAAGGCGTTCAAAACAGGCTCAGCCGCGCCCTCCAGACCGGGCCAGCCTCCAGCCATGCTCACTGGGGACAGACTTTCCTCAGCAATGCATTTTTCAGTGTCGTATGTAATTAGATAATGAACTTAAGTCATAAGCGTACTCCGGTGAAACGACATCTACATTAGTGCCTTCCTTCTGACACAGCAAGGCGTTCAAAACAGAATCGCAGACTGGAGGGAATTCAGATCAACAGCTCAGCAGAAGACACTCCCAGGTTTGGCAGCCGATGATCTCCAGAACTGCTGTATAAGCAAGCACAAGTCTCCACCTGTTCACACATAAATAAGATTAAAAAACCCAAACAGATGGTGAGTTAATCCCCATCTCCATCCCCGACTGATGTTACACAGAATGAGGACCAGGCCTTGCTCTAAACCTTTGCTTGTACCAGAAAAATCTTCAAAATGGGCTGTCCGTGAGGACAAAGCATCGCCATTCCCAAGTCCTGTACTGATTCGGTGGTAGCACTCTACATGGGGAGCGCTTCCAACTTTAAATACTGGCCCAGAGTGTTTGATGGGATTGAGCAACAAATTAATATCCCGAGGGAAAGTGGAAAACTCAAGCCCAGTGCCTCAAAAAATCTGTCCTGAGGAACAAAGAGCTGCCCACCTCCCCCACACCCTTGCGATCACACTGGAAAACTCAAGCCCAGTGCCTCAATCCGTCCTGAGGAACAAACAGCTGTCCACCTCCCCCACGCCCTTGCGATCACATTGAAGCTCATGGCTTATTCAACACACGCTTGGTCGGGGTATTCTGCCTCAGGGATGGTAACATCAGCCATTCACCACCACTCACTCTACCAAAGGGCATTAAAACGCAAAAAGCCACCCAAAACCGCTGCTGCTACTCAAGCAGCATTAAAAATGTGGCTTATTGCTAATGATGCTTCTTACGAGAGTACTGGGGTTGGAACTAGATGATCTTTAAGGTCCCTTCCAACCCAAACCGTTCTATCATTCTACTGTGAGCTTGTCTCTGCTCTCTGGGCTGCCCTTCCCTCAGCTTCCGCTGAAAGGCAGAGTGCCTCTCCCTCCCTGCGTAACCGCAAGTCCTACACCAGCCAAGGGAATCCCCCTCCCTGGCGCTGCACACATCCCTTTGCAGCTGGGACCAGGGAGAAGGGCCAGGCTCCCCCTCTCAGTTTCACAGAGGCAGCCAAGAGGAGGATTTGCTCCCATGTGTTTCTCAGGTAGCAGCAGTGAATTTCCATAGTGCTCTGGCTCTGCCACAGCAAGCCTAGCTTGCTGCTCAGATGGGTTTTCTGCGGCGCAGAGTCGCCCGAGAAGGGTCCAGAGCATGCAGGAGCACGTCACTGTCTTGAACCATCCCACCCTCCATCGCCCTTTACAGTTCACCTAGAGCAACGTGACATTTCACCCTCCTAAACCAGTTCATTTCTGTTCTAAGGGACAATCTACCACCACAATCTGCAGTAGGAAACATTGAAGGGAGTCCTTCCTCTTTGGAAAAACATGCACGCCGCTTTACATTGCACTTCTGCCTGAAAGAAGGGAAAACTCCCCACCACAACCACCTCAAGGTTGTTTCGGGCTGATTGAAACGTACCCAGTTCAGAATTTCATTTTCTTACCAATGAATAAAACTGCGAGGGAAAAAAAAAATCATAGAGTGTTTAACAAGATCCAAAGGTTTTGGTCACGTTTTCTAAAATCCGAAGGAGGGAGATGGATTTGCATCACCCTCATGGTATTCCCGTTAGTAGACTTTCCCCTGGCTGCAGAAGGCAGGCCCAAATCCATCCCTTAACACCCTAAGCTGGTAGCTGCGGCACAGACACGCGCCAAGATGACAATCTGCCGAGGGGGCTGCTAGCCGGAGCACGCGTGCAAGCGCTCACTCGCCTGCTTTGGCCAAAGCAAGTCCTGGGGCTCATGCGGGCAGCTCACACGGTCTGAGCGGATTAGGGAGCAACCGCGCTAGACAGCGGCGCCGAGCCCAGTGCCTGCTGGAGGAGAGCTGGAAAAACGACAGCTCCAGTGCCTAATGCACATGAAAAGAATCAGGTTCCTTGCAAAAATGTGGGTTTCAGAGTAACACTGACGACCAGGAAGTCTGTTCAGAGCAGTAGACTGTTCCGGGCCCAAGGGCCTGCTATCAGAAACATCCAGACGCTGAGGTGTTTTGTTGGTGCTGCCGGATCTCCGTACCTTTTTAAACCCACAGGCCCTAAACGTCTGACCTCCCAGTTAGTACTTCACATGGCATGGCACGTCGTTTTGAAGCTAGCTTTTACACGGGGTTTGCAATAGGTGCTGCTGTACAAATCTGTACTAAGTCAGTGTTATTTCTTCTGTATTAAAGCAAAGCTGAAGTAACAGTTTGACCAGTTTTATTATTTTCCCAATTGTATTAATTTCACATAGTACAAAATTCTCTTATCTAAGCAATTTGGAAAGAACAAGACGAAGTTCCACACGAAGCCAGCATAACACAGTTTGCCTAAGATACCACCTTATCAGATATTTTTAAGCTTGATGTTTTCAATAAGAGCTTAATTTGTACTTATGTTTCAGCGCTCACGTGTCCATACGAAGCTTTCAGACACACGATTCCAGTTCAGGGTTTATTTGCATACAAAAATATATTATAATGGGGGGGGAGGGGGGAAAGCATTAAAAGTTCTTAACTATATAAAATTACAAATATATTTTCATAAAAGCAACTTTAAATTAAAATCCAAGCAAAACACAGCTGCAACACTTAAGTTCTCTCTGCTGCAAAGTAACAAAACTGACGTTGCCAGCTGAACACTTGGAGGAGTACACAACGGTTACGTTCAGGTGGTGAGCATCTGGGGTAGCACAGTTATCAGACAAGGGCAGCACTTCCCAGTGACTGACGGCACTCATCCTTCAGACCACATTCATAGGCAAGCACAATGCCAGAGAGTCGTTTCACATACCTGGAAACACAAACCAATATCATCAAGTTCTGTGTTTAATAAAGATTGCGTGTTGTCGACATCCCAGACACCCTATCTACGCCCAGGATGTTACACTGCCCAGCAGGCCAAAACTATGCCTTTTTTTAATGAACACGAGAGCCAAAAGATTAGTGTGTAAAAATGTAAGGCAATTACTGTTCTAATGAGTGCTTTAAGCTCGGAAAGACATCTGTACGGAGTTCTGTGTAACATCAAGCATACAAGAACTCCTTAAAAATGTGATAATAAGTATCAGATGTAAGTCAGACTTTGTCCTGAGGATTGCCATGTACGATAAAGACAGTGTATCATTAGGACATGTGACACTGCATAGATGAGACAGGGCTGAAATAACTGCAGATTTGCTTAGCTGGGAGAAAAAAACCCCAAAAAACCCAAAACCCACTACAGCAGGTGGCAATCCCTGGCCTCACCTCAGATGTGCCTGGAAGGGGACAACGAAACCAACACTCTGTAGGCAGCCCCTTCAGAGTCAGCAGCAACATGGCCGTGCCAGGTACAGCAGTGTAAGTATTTGGTGGTTTGGGGGTGTCACTGCTCTACTAAAACCTTCAGAACTCACAAGATTTTCAGAAGAACAATCATTCAATGAGGTTTCAGTGGTAAAGATGGAGTTAGATCAATCATAGAATGGTTTGGGTTGGAAGGGACCTTAAAGACCATCTAGTTCCAACCCCCTGCCATGGGCAGGGACACCTTCCACTAGACCAGGTTGCTCAAAGCCTCATCCAGCCTGGCCTTGAACACTCCCAGGAATGGGGCATCCACAGCTTCTCTGGGCAACATACATCAAGTGTATGTCCATGACAGAAGTCAGAAAACTAGAAATGTATTTTAGGTGAGAGAAGTGAAACCAGGATTAAGATACAGGTTAGATGACAGGGAAGTAGGAAGCTGATAAGGGCAGCTGTCTTAAGTCCAAGGCAGATGGCCAAGGCTTCAAGAGTTACAGCGAAGGGAAAACACCTGATGAATACAAGAAACTCAGTTCATAGTTTAGTTCATAGTTTATTGGGGGGGTGGGAGTTGTTCATGCTGGTATTTAGGAATGGACCCAAACCATGTGATTCTATGAAATGCCACTCCTGGTAAAGACAAGAACAAACACAACTTTGATATTTAATCTAAGTCAACAGATGCAGATAACTGCTCCTTGATTCTTTCATAAAGCAAAATCCAGGATAAAAAGTTTTCCCTCACCTACAGCTACTCCTCCAGTTCCTTAGCGTTAGAACGAAGAAACGAACCCCCACATTTCAGCAGAGTTTGGCGTATTTAAGAAAGTGATGTTCACTTGACCTATAGACTGTCAAGGAGGGGTGAACTGCAGCTGCCCCAGAGGTGGGGACAGAGGTTTGGCGGAGTAAAACCACCTTTGTCACACTCGCTGAACAACATGCCCTGAACATGCAGGCAAAGACCGGAATTCAGTCTATTTTACCTTCTTATCCACATAACGATCCACAGGACTGGCAAACAAAACCACGCTACGTAAAACTGTTGCTATCCTTCCTGTCCCACTCCCCTCAGACAGTGGCTCTCCTCAGCCTCTGACAATACCAAGCGAGATGCAGCCTACCAGTAAAAAATCTACTCACTTGCTAGTGTCCTGTCAAGATCAGCAATGAAGTCTTCCAGTTCTTTCGTGTCTCCAAGCTTTGCTGCAAAATAAGAGATCGTCAATACCGCTTGGACACGACATATTCCTCTGGCCAAAAGAAACACTGGAACCACACAATCCCCCAAATCACTTCCAGCGGTATCAAACATGCTGCGGATTAT